GTGGATGGGTGGGTAGGTGGATGGGTATGTGGATGGGTGGGTAGGTGGATGGATGTATGGGCAGATGGATGGGTGGATGGGTGAGTAAATGAATGAGTATGTAGAATGGATGGACAGAGACGAAGGTGGGTAGGGAGGTGGATGAGTGAATAGACTCAGGCTCTTTTGTGCTCCCTTCCCCAAGGGGTTCTCAGGTAAAGAAAACCTTGGTGTTTGCAAGGACCCTGCAAAGCCTGTGCTGTACGTAGAGATTTCGACTTGCCGGATGACAGCCAAACACGTGGGTGCGAGAGCTGTGATCACAAGGTGCCTAAGTGGGAGAGGGGGCGGGACATGGCGGGGTGAGTCACCCCACTGCTCAGCAGCACAGCATCACGACGCTGCCACAGAGACAGCAGGCAGACAGACAGGTGGGATGGCAGATGCGCAGACTGGAGGCGGGGCGCAGGCAACAGAGCCCACGGCTGATGGAGCAGACCAAACAGACCTCTTCCTGGGTCCGTCAGGGAGCAGATACCATCCGGCCATACCAAGCAGGCTCTCTCTGACTGTTCAAAAGCCATGCTCACAGGAAGCGGAGAGGAGATAAGGCTTTGCTTCTGTGTCTCTCAGATGGGCAGCCGGAGGCAGAAAACTAAGGGGGAGAGCCTTTGTCCCCAGCCCTGGGCCCCTCCTGCCACCTCCTTCCCCAGCTACCCACCTGACAGGTTGCTGGGGCTCATCTGCTGGGCCAGGATCGCCTTCAGCTTCTTGATTTCCTCCTGGTACTCGCGCAGGAGGGCATCCTTTGGGTCCTCGTTGATACGTGGCTTGTTCTTGATGTTCTTGGCCCGGTTGGCATAGCGCAGTGTGCTGAGCGTCTCGTCATAGTTGTTGTCTGCGGGTGACAGGCAGGCCACCATCAGCGTCTTCGTGTTGCCACCCAGCGAGTCCTGCAGCAGCCGCGTCAGCTTCGAGTCCCGGTAGGGGATGTGTTTACAGCGCCCGTCCACCAGGGCCGAGATGACGTTGCCCAGAGCCGACAGCGACAGGTTGATCTTGGTGGCCTCCCTGAGCCGCTCCCCTGTGGCACCCGTCTTGGACTGCCGCTCGCTGCCTGCCAGGTCCACCAGGTTCAGCTTGCCAGCACGGAGATGGTCCTTGCCCCGCTCGTCTGTGGACGGACCAGGCGGAGGGTAAGGGGCTTTCAGTGAGCCCCACGTGGGGCACTTAGCCACCAGGCACCGAGCGCTCCCACCATCAGCCACGTAGGAGCCCAAGAGAGAGGCGCTATCACCATCCCCATCTTACAGAAGAGGAAACAGGCTCAGAAAGGCATCTAACTGGCCCAAGGTCACACCGCTGCTAAGTCGTGGACCCAAGGTCAGAACACAGGGCTGGGGCGCCTGGGTGGCTCAGATGGTTAAGCGTCTGCCTTCGGCTCGGGTCATGATCCCAGGGTCCTGGGATGGAGCCCCGCATTGGGCTCCCTGCTCAACGGGGAGTCTGCTTCTCCCCCTCCCTCTGCTTCTCCCCCTGCTCATGCTCTCTCTCTCTCTCTCTGTATCTCTCTCGAATGAATAAATAAAAAAATCTTAAAAAGAACACAGAGCTGCTTGACTCGGGGAGCAGGGGCTGGAAGGTCCAGACTATTCTCTGAGTGCAGTGGGATTTCTTTCAGTGATCACAATAGCTCTCCCAGATGTCCTGTGAGGCCAAGAGTGGGGGGATGTGATTGGGTCACCCAGAGCCTTGTACCCTTCACTGCAAAAGACACTGGCTTTGGAGGCTCTTGGCCCTGGTTCCCAACCCAGCCCTGCCTCCTCCTCACTGTGTGACCCTAGCAGAGCCATGTACCTCCCTGGTCCTCAATTCTTACAGCCATAAAATGAGACTAACAGTAGCTCCCCACTCAGGCTGGTTGTTGGGAGGAGTAAAGTAAAAGGAGAGCACATTTTTACAGAGTTGACCCAGGGCCCAGCACACAGCAGGGGTTCATCCCCCCGAGAACAAGCCCGGTTCTGCGGTGACCAAGGCTGTGCAGACAAGGCCGACCCCTGTGTTGAGGGTGACAGGAGTCGGGCACTGGCTGGTAACAGGGGCTCAGAGCACAGGTTTTGAAGGCACAGATCTTGGGGGTCCAATCTTGATTCTATGTCTTAGTAGCTATGAAACTTGGGGAAAACCACTGGACTCAGTTCCCAATGAGATGGGAGTGGGGAGGCAGGCGGAGGGGCAGGGGGCTTCCTCCTCGGTCTCCTGCGGGTTGAAACCAGAACTGGCCTCGTGTTGTCCATGCACACAGCAACCCGGGGTCCGGCTGGTACCCAGGAGAGGCTTGGACATGTGAGGGGCTTGAGGTTGGGGGCTTTTTTCTTTTTTTTTAAGCAGCAGCAGGACAGAGGGCCTGGGAACCGTGCTCTTGGCAGAATGTACCAGGAGCCTTAAACAGGTTTGTATCCTTCGCCCCAGGAGGTCCACTCCTGGAAATGTTATCCGAGGAAATGACTCTAAAAGCAGAAAAGGCTTGGTGCACCAAGATGTTCATCGTGGCATTATTTACAACACCCCAAGACGGGAAACAACCTCACCGCCCTCTAAGGATTGGTTAGAAAAGCACACGAGGGCGCCTGGGTGGCTCAGTTGGTTAAGCGACTGCCTTCGGCTCAGGTCATGATCCCGGAGTCCCTGGATCGAGTTCCGCCGCGTCGGGCTCCCTGCTCGGCGGGGAGTCTGCTTCTCCCTCTGACCCTCCCCCCTCTCATATGCTCTCTCTCTCTCATTCTCTCTGTCTCAAATAAATAAATAAAATCTTTAAAAAAAAAAAAAAGAAAAGCACACGAGAGATGCGCTGTCCTTTAGCCGGTACCCGTGGTCACAAAGACACGGCAGGAACGATGCTCAGGGATGGCGCGGGGAATGGAACGCAGGGGAGAAACTCAATACGACAGAAGAGTTCGACTGTGTTTATAAATTTCATAGGATAAAAAGGACCAAAAAACCCCAATACGCTTAAATGCTAATAGTTGTGTTTATGAGTAATTTTACCTACCTTTCTGTAATTCCTAAATAGCTTTACTGAACTTATTTTATAACGAAAATGAAAAACATCTTTTTAAATTTGTTTGCAGGGTGCCTGGGTGGCTCTGGGTAAGTGTCCGACTCTTGATTTTGGCTCAGGTTGTGATCTTGGGGTCATGAGATGGAGCCCTACATCAGGCTCCATGCCTAGTGTGGAGCCTGCTTGAGATTCTCCCTCTCCCTCTGCCCCTCCCCCCACCCACGCATTCGCTCTCTAAAAAAAAAATAAAAAAATAAATTTGTTTAAAAGCCTGTTTCCCGGCAGCCTGCTACATCCTTCAAACCCTTCTGCAAAGACCAAGAGGCGCCCCCAAAGGCACTCTGTCCTCCTCCCTCCAGATGTGTCCTCACCTGCCCTAGTCCCTGCCCCCCCCTCACAGCCTCACCGCATGACGTTGTGACCTCACCGACCCTGCCCAACCCCTATCAGCACCCTGGGGAGACTCAGACCCAGCAAGCACCAGGCGGTTGGCCTGGGGCCAGGTCACCACACATGCTGGGCCATGTCGTAGGAGGTACCCCGGCTTTGACCTTGGGTCGGGGATCTCTCCAGAATTATGTTTCTGGTTGGGCCGAGGCTGTTTCCCGCTGCAGTGCTCTCGAGAGTTCTATTCATGACGGACCCGGAGGCAGCTGTCGTGTTATCTGGAAAAGCCCAGATGTCAGACTGGGGTTCAAATCCCAGCTCCCCCGCTTATCGGTGGGACCCTGCACAAGCAAGCCTCGGCCCTCTCAGAGCCTCAGTTTTCCTGTCTGTAAAATGGCCATTAGAATGCCTGCCTCTAGGACTTCTGTGGGCTGTAAATGGAAGGAAGCCTGTGAAGTGCTTAGCACAGCAGCCACCGGCGGCCAGAAATAAATACGAGTTTCTTCCCTTCCTCTTCCCTTCTCAGGGACTCTTTCAGAAAGGGGGACGGGGGAGATGGCTGAAGGGTGGGGAGCCCTGAGAGAAAGAGGAGACTCCAAAAGGTCCAGGGATCGAGGGCCAGCTCTGATGCTTTAGAGTTGCGGGACCTGGGTTTCCTCATCTGTAAAATGGGGGACGATGCTGGCAGCCACCTCTCGGGCTTGTGGCAAGGAGTACCCGAGCTAACGCACAGAAGCCGTGTAGCATGTAGTAGGTGCTCAGTATGAGCTGCCAGCGGCAGTATTATTGTTGATGATGCCGCTTATCCTGGAAACGTGGGCCCTCGTACGGGAGGGTCCTCTTGGGTGGCCTCCAGGCAGTTCGAGCATCTTCTCCCAGTTTCAGATGGGGCCCCCGAGGCCCCGGGAGGGGAAGGGTCTCGGTGCCCAGCTCCGGCTCCCCCGCCCCCACCAGCCCCACGTACCCACGGCGTAGATCTCGATGCTGATGGTGAAGATGGAGTGGGAGCGGGAGGAGTCCTTGTTCATCAGCGTGTAGCCCACCGAGCGGCTCTTCCAGCCCGTCTCCATGATGTGCTCGCACTGGGCCACGTTGTGCACCGTGTGCATGGAGAGCCCCTTCACGTACACCCCCTTCTCCGGGTGCTCCTTCAGCTGTGGGCAGGAGGGATGGGTCAGAGCCGGGTGGGGGCAGGGATCCCCAAGGAACCCAGTCAAGGGCCCAGTTCAGGCCCCCTCCGCCCTCCTGCAGTGCAGGGTGGCACCTCAAGGTCCCTGCAACAGGCAGGGGCTTTGTTCCAGGTGGAACCAGCCTCAAACCCACCCCACCTCTTCCTTGTTGTGGGACCTTGAGCCAGTAACTTAACCTCCCCGGGCCTCAGTTTCCACATCTGTAAAATGGGTATGAGATACACGTCTCTTAGGGATGTGGTGGGGATTCCGTCAAATAAGGCCCGTCCAAGGCTTGGCACAGGGCCTGGCACCGGGCAAGTGCTCCGTAATGCCAGGCGCTGTCCTCACTGTTGGTGGTGGTGCGATTATTACGAAGGGCCTTTCTAGACTGGGAGCTTCAGCTTCCAGGGGCTGACCCTGTAGCCACCCGAGGGCTCTGAAAGCTGCTCTTTTGCCCGGTCGACACGGCCACTGATCGCCTCTCTGCTTTGGCTCCAGGGAAATAGGAACGTTCCCAGGCCCTTGGATCGTGGCCGGCAAAGGGCCATTTGCTGCCCAGAACTCCCACTGGCCCTCAGCTCAAACCAGCCTCCAGGCGTCAGCGTGATGGCAGCGAGTAAATTAATTTATCTGACTGCTCCCTGCTTGCTCTTCAGGCAGCCAAGTTGTTTTGTTGCTGACACAGAGCTGTGAAATGCAATATTTTTCAAGTGTGAGGAAATAAAACCACTCTGGCGAGAGCAGAATGAATTAGGACAAGTCCCCACCCTGCTGGTCTGAGCCACAGAAGGCTCTGGTGCTTCAGGCAGCTTCGGGGTCCCACGTGGGGCCGGGCCGCTGCTGCGTGGGGTGGGGGGTGGGCACACAGGCTCGCCCTATCTGCTCGAGTGCGGAGAAACCCCCAGGCCCAGACTGAAGGACTGGGCTTCCCAGAACAGAAAAGCAACCAAGGCACAGACTGGGAAGGGATTTGCTGAAGGTCACAGAGCTATTACTATCAGGGAAGCTGTGGGGTCCCAGGTGATGGAAGACTCCAGAAGCAGAGTATGGAGAGGCTGGAGCATCCCATAGAAACTGAAGTTTGAAATGACAAAGGGCTGACCTTGACCTAGGACGTGGGGGTGAGGATGGAGCACCAAGGCCAGAAGCACGAGACCTTGTAGAGGGTGGCTGAAGCCGGTCTGAAATGCTCGGTAGTGCCCTCTGGCTCCCATCACCAGGCCCCGGGGGCCTGGGCTGCCTCCTGCTGTGACCTCGGCCTGGGCGCTGGGCCCTGGGGAGTGAGCGGTTGATCCGGCCTCTGGGGGAGCAGCAGGCTCCTAGTCTCCTAGTCGGGCAGCCCCCCAGGGTTAGAGACCTGGCTCTGCCCCTTGCTGGTTGGAGAAGTCAATTTGCCTCTCTTCGTCCTGGTTCCCTCTTCTGATGATCAATTCTATTTCTGCAAGACCACTATGAGGACTGAGGAGAGGATGGAGCTAAAAGCCAGTCCACTGGGTACTCGGAGGGGCACCACCAGCACAAGGCACGGGGGCGGGGGGTGAGCCTTCAAGTAGGGATGCCACTGCCCTATCTGTAGGCCTCAGCCCTGCTCTCCCAGGGAGGCTCTGAGCGCCCGAGTAACTACTCCTCCCTGAGACCCAGCCCGGAGCCTGGGCACCATGGCAACAGCTGGGATGCTGGGATGCGGCCAGCGAGGGGCAGACGCCCCCAGGGAGGAGGGGCTCCTGACACGGGACCCCAGTACACTGAGAGGTGGTGAGGGCCTCACCTCCACCGCCCAGTGTGGGCTGCCTCCATGAGGGTGGTTGGTGGTGGTGGTTGAGGGAGGGAGTGAAACTCTGCCTCCCCAAATCCCTCACCCGGGCTGATCTACTCACCACTAATCACCAGAACCTTCAGGCCCTGTGCTAAGCACGGGTTCAGAGCCCATGCTGTGGGGACTGGACACCTGGATTCAAATCCAGCCTCACCCTCTCCTGACTGTGTGCCCGGCGGCTGGTCTTACCCAGGTGCATTGAGCCTCAGTTTCCTCCTCTGTAATAAAGGATCAGAGCAGCACCTCCTCCTAAGGCTGTTCTGAGGTTCCCAGGAGCAACCATCTGCGCTTCTCCAGGGGACAGCGGGTCACCCCCCCAACCCCCCACCCCGTGCACTGGCGGCGGAGAGTGTCTCGGAGGGCACGTGTCACTGGCAGCCCCCGCCCCCGCCCCCCACCCCGGGCAGCCTGACTCACCAAGCCTGAGGTCTGGGGCCCACATGGGGCAGGGGCACAGCTGCTGGCCCTCAGGGCCCGGGTAATGGAGGCCATTCTAGAGTCCTGGGTGTGGAAGGAGGGGAGGAGGGCCCCCTGCTGCCTCAGTGCAGGTTGGCGGGGGTGGGGGTGGGGACCCTGATCCCCCAGGCTGGCCTTTCGGGACTGACACGTGGGAGCAACGTCCTGTGCCTTCCTCCCCCCCCACAATATCCCCATCTGGGGGCTGAGCTATGACTCAGCTGCTCCAGCTCCAGGATAGAGAAGACAGTAGAAAGACTCCAGGTGGGCGGCTGGAGGTTCCTGCACAGAACGAGCAAAGCGCTGCTGTGTTTGTCAGGAGCTGAGGAGGAGGTGCCAGGCCGGGGCTCCGTCGGGATGGGGTCTGGGAGGAAGGGAGGTCACACACCTTTGGGGACCCGCTGTAGCACGTGGCCTGGCGCCTGGCACCCGGAGGTCATCCCAGTCTTTGCTGCATGATGGAGGCACCTCCCTTGGCCGGAACCCCACTACTGGCCCCTAGGCAGTCTCTATATTGCTGACCCCAAAAAATTCTGGCAGGGAAGCACCTGACCATTCAGATCCCACGTGTTCTGGTACCAATACCGTTACCAGTAATTAGCTGTGTGGCCTTGGCCACGTCCCTTCCCTTCCCTGGGACTCAGTTTCCTCATCTGTACTAGGAAAGGGCCGACTAGAAGCTCTCAAGAGTTTTTCCAGCTCAAATTCTTAGGGATTTTTCCACAGTATGGCCAGAACAAACACATTTTTAAAGACAGCTGCTCCCTGGGGTCTGATCTGTTCACTTGGATCAAAGAGTGGTCGCAGGCCAGAGAGGAACTCACAGACCCCACGGGTGAACCCAGGGCCAGTGGGGGGTGGTGGTCAGGGGACAAGTAGGAGGCTCAAGCTGAATAGGGGGATGGGGGGAACCAGGTGATTCCGACATCCTGTCCAATCTAGAGGTCACCGGGGGTCAGGAGGGCCAGGAGGCATCGGCAGCAGCCCCTTCACCTGGTTCTGCCCCCCTTCCCGTGGCTGTCAAGGCATGTGCCCTGGGGAGACTCAAGCAGTTTGTCACAGAAAATGTCCAACCCTGGGGATGCCCGGGTGGCTCAGTCCGTTGATGGTTGATGGTTGAGCGTCCAACTCTTGATTTTCGGCTCAGGGTCATGAGATCAAGCCCCGTGCTGGGCTCCGTGCTCTTCTTCTTTCTTTCCCTCTTCTTTCCCCTCTTCTTCCCCCTCCGTCTCTGCCCCTCCCTGCACTAGCACATGCTCTATTTCATTCATTCATTCATTCGTTCGTTCATTTAAAAAACCTTTTTTAAAAAAGAAAGAAAATGTCCAACCCTGCCTCTGTGGCTTCCTAGCCTCAGGCAAGTCACATTCTCTCAAACAGTTTCACCCATAAAATGGGAATCTCCATGGCAACCTTGGGGGTGATGCTCCAGCTCGGGCAATCTGACTCTGAAGGAGGTGGGCCTCTTGGTTGCTTGGTCAGATAAGAAGCATGGGAGTCAGGGGCAGCCATCGGCATTCTGGCCACAGGATTGCCTCAGCTTCCCCCCCTCCCCCACCCCTGTGCTGGCCCCTCCCCCTTGGCCCTGACCTGGCCCACCCAGCATTTAAAGAGTCCCAGAGAGGACACATAATCCAGGCCTCACACTCAGGCCTAGACCTGGGTCCAACCTTGCCACCAACTGGCTGTCTGGTCCTGGCAGGTCACTTGACCTCGCTGGGCTCCCCAAAGGGTCAGCCAAGTTCTGCCTGTCTTGTGTGACCCCCTCACAGCAACACGCTGAATGCCTTCTGTGCGTTGGGCTCTGCGAGCGGCTCATCCTCACCGCCCTCTTCAGTCCTCACTTTATAAGGGTCAGGTCACCGGTCCTTGGGTGCCCTGCACCAGACCCCTTGCAAAGGGGAACAAAGTCCCAGAATCTGAGGCCACAAACAGCCATGAAATGGGATGGTTGAGATTCAGGACCTTGAAGTCAGACAAGCCTGGGTTCAAGTCCAGTTTTGGCCACACACATAGACAAGTGAATTAACCTAAGTGTGCCTTCCCACACTGGGAGACTGGGGACAGCAGCTACCCAACAGGATCGCTGGGACTAGTAATAAGATCATGTGCCTAAAGCAGTCAGTAAATTGTGCTCAATAAATGATAATCATAATCACCATCTTTCTAGCTATTTGGGCCCTTAGAGATTTTCAAAGTAATATTTTTAGAAATGGAACCCATTTTTCAAATGAAATCTATCACAGGACGCCATCTACTTCACCAGATATAGGCGGCATGACCCCAGGTAAGGTCCAGTCCCCCACTGTGTGGTCGGGGGTAGGCCGGTGAGCCCCTCCCCTGCAACAAGCACTCTGAGAATCCTCCAAAATTCAAGTTCAAAAGTCCCCACTCTAGTCTGAACTGGTGCATGTGCCCCCAGGATACCTTCCCCGTGCTTCTGAGGGAGCTCCTCCCGATGCCAACCTCCACCCTTCCCCTGCCCCTCCCTGCCCCGGCCACGTCCGCGCCCACCTCCAGCTTCTGCTTGGTGTCAGCCCCCAGAAGGTCACGGACATCTTCATTGTAGATCTCCAGGTAGGAGGCCCGGACCAGGAACTTGGTATTCTCTGCACACTGCAGGGCGTGGACAGGGACAGCAAAGAAGCCTGCCAAGGCTGGCCCTGTCACCTTCCCCCTCTGCAGCCAGGACGTCACGGAAGGACATCGCGGCAGGAGAGGTGACATCAAGGGGAGGGGAGTCCCCAACGCTCCTGGCCCTGCCCGCATGCCTGGTCAGCCGCCCGCCCCTCCTCTCCAGCTCGGTGGGCCCCCCGGGCTCCTCTGATTGCATAATTCTCATATTGCTACTGTCGCATGCTCTCCCCACAGCCTCAGGGGAAACGAAATGAGAGAGGCCTCCCCATTACTCAGGTAGAGAAACTGAGGCCACAGGTAAGGACCAAGCACTGGTTATGGTCTGATCTCTCCTTGTCGCAAATGTTCCTGGTGGGGGGGCACCAACATGAGTCCTGGGAGCAGGTACGGTAGGCTCTGCGGCTGACCGGGGTCGCAGTCCCCACCCTGCCATTTCCCCGATGCAGGAATCTCTGCTCATGGCCAGGCGTGACCACCGGAGCAATTCTCACCTTTAGCTGAGACCTCATCGGGGTCTTGCCCAGCATAGAAGGGCAATAAGTCTGGGCTTCCCTATCTCAAAAATGGGGACAATGGTGATCTCCCGGGGCCAGGGTGGGGGTTGCAATGTTGCAAAGGGCTTGGCGCTAGGCTTGGTCTGTAGCAACTGCTTAATAAAAAAGGGAGGCTCTGATTGTTACAACTCCTTCTCGGGCCGGTGCTCTGGATCATCGGGTCCGCATGGGACAGCAAGTGAAATGTTAAAGTCCAAAAATGGCAGGAGAAAAGCATGGAACTGGGAGGCAGAATTTTCTCAATGTGAAGTTCTCCCATCCCCTCTCGGAAACCAGAGCCTGCCTCTGCTCGTCTGTGTCGGGTCACAGCAGGCTCCCACAGGCTCAGAGTCCTTGCCGTAGGGCACTGGCGCTCCGGGACCCATTGCCCGAACGTCCAGGGGGGCCCCCAGACCCTGAGCGCGGCGCTGCCCCTTCCCGCCGCGAGGCCCCTACCTGGACACTCTCGAAAACGTGCTCGAAGGCCCTGGGGATGATGCCTCTCTGCGAAGATGGGTCTGGCAGGCCCTGCATGGTGAAGGACTTCCCGCTGCCCGTCTGGCCATAAGCGAAGATGGTGCCATTGTAGCCCTCAGTGACACCCTGCGTGGGGGGACCACAACCCCGGTTCTCAGGCTGGCCAGCCCGGCGGCACTCGGGGCCCCTCCCCGGCTCGCCCACCATGATGGCACCTGGCCGGCAGGAGGTGCAGAGATGAGTAAGTCCCAGCTCTGTCCCCAAGGAGCTCACCTCCTGGTGGGGAGACTGACACACACAAGTGATCCTCATACGAGGCAAGTGCACGTGTCCAGGGAGTGGGCAAGGAGAGAGGGTGCAAGGGGGGCATCACAGAGCCTCCTGGGTAGGGCGGACAGAGTAGGGGAGCTAAAAGGTGGCTCGGGGTTCTGACAGGTGTCAGGAAGAGGACAGCCTTCCAGGCTGACGGGGTGCAGAGGGGTCAGAGGCTGAGGGCAGGTAGAGCAGGGAGGAGGGGAGAGAAGGAAGGAAGGAAACCAGGAGCAGCCCTAAAGTCAGTCTTCATTCATGGATACATTTATTCTTTCCATAGGCACGGGCACCACGCTCCAGCCGGGACACAGGGATGAACAAGGCGCGACCCCAGTCCCTGCCCTTGCAGAGCTCATGAGCTCATTGATTCTAGAACTCAGCATGGGGGAGGGGGGAGCCGTGTCAGCACAGGAGAGCTGCTCCCAGGCCCCGAGGGCCCACCTGGCATCTACGCCCAGCGACACTGCAAAGACCCATCCTGTGGACCACCGTGGGGCTCGGGATCCCCAGGGACCGCTGCTAAAGGAGGCCCAAAGTCACAATTCACAGCTTCTCTGAGGACTACGCCTCATTTTTATGGGCAGAACTGGACGAACACCTCTCCTTTGTCCAAGGAAGCCCTGACCACTGTGTGGGTTCCTGCACCTCATCAGAGGGTGGGGGGCTGCACACAGGGACAGCCCCCTGCGGGGGGCGGGTAGGCAAGGGCAGCCTGATCACCTGCTGGGCTCCTCAGAGCCGGGGACACCTGCAGCCCCGGTGATCAACATGATGCAGGGCCCAGAGTATCAGTGTCACCCAAACCCGGAGAAGGTATTCTACACAAAAATAGAGACTGCTTCACTGTCGGGTAGGGTAGCCATGAGCCATACTAGAATGGGCTCAGTGAGACTGAGAAACTGAATTTATTTGATCTGATTTTAGTGCATTTACACTTAACAGTATAAAATGCTTTTCCATTAAACATCACTTTATTTTTTGTTTCATTTCATTTTAACTGTTGACCCTTTAGCATCTGCATGGAGACATGCTACAATGTAAAACACATAGCTGATTTCAAAGACTTTGCATGAAGAAAGAATGGAAAATATCTCACTGTTACTCTACAATGACAACGTTTATTAATATGTTTTCTTGAAATAATATTTTGGATATACTGGGTTAAACAGAATCTGGGCGCCTGGGTGGCTCAGTTGGTTAAGCGACTGCCTTCGGCTCAGGTCATGATCCTGGGGTCCCTGGATCGAGTCCCTCATCGGGCTCCCTGCTCGGCAGGAAGCCTGCTTCTCCCTCTGACCCTCCCCCCTCTCATGTGCTCTCTCTCTCTCATTCTCTCTGTCTCA